GAGAAGAGGGAGCGAGAGCAGACACAGCTGACTGTGGGGCAGAGAAGGCTGTAGGTTAGGGGACTGAGTGGGTGTGGGGATCTTCTTTCCTCTACATTCAGTTATGTTTGTAGGTGCTGATTGTTTTATCCATCTAAAAAGATGTATGGATTGAAAGTTGTTTTTTTGGTTTCAAATATGGGTACGTTAACACCATTTGGTGTCTGGAACTATTGCCATTTTGTTTATACCAATGAGTAACCACTAAGTGGCTGTCTTCACTTTTGTGGCTGCTCTTAGTCACTTGGGATGTTCCTTTCGGTCCCCAATACCAGTGCTCAGAATTCTTCTTAGAGTATACACACCTTTCGCAAAGAGGTTTCAGGCACGTTTCCGAAGTTGTTTGGAATTGGTAAAATTGAGGAACTGTACCAGCATATAGTCTGATATAAGCTCCTCGATTGCTGTCTTCTTTATAATAATTGGAAGCAGAAAATATGGTAACAACCTAATTAAAGAAAAAGAGGGACAGGTTCATGTAAAATTAGTTCTCAAAAGGTTATTCAATAAAGTCAGAAATAGCTCAATTCTTAAAAAGCAAAAATTAAACAAAGTTCATAATTCCTGCAAATTATCCAATTCCGATGTGATTTCCTGTGATTCCATCAGAGGGAATCAGTTCCCCAGTACTACCACCTCCTAGCCACTCACTCAATATCCCCCCAGTGCATAGCCCTCCAATCCTATATACAATTTTAGTGCTGACTCTGGTTTTGCAAATTCTGATTTTCCAAGGGGAAAATCCCTTATTTTCTTGCTTTGTGATATTTGAGCATTCAAAGTAAAACTTGTCTAGTATCTCAGTCTTTTGCTTGGAGCTGAGTGATCTAGAGGTGCAGGGCCTCATAAAACCATTACTTTAAGAGCAGAGAATACAGGACCATGGCCACTATCTTGGGAAGGGACCAGCCTTGGGGCTGTGGTGGAATATGGAAGGACAATATTTATCAGTGACAAGGAATCTGGCTTAGACCCAGTTCTGTCCTAATGAGTGTGTCATTTTAGACAAGTCACCACTGTTTTTTATTTTCTTTTTACAAAGAAACCCTAAATAATACTTGCCTACTCATTTTGCAATGTTATTATGAGCCAAAAATGAATTAATGGAGTTCAGAAAAGTACTGACACAGAAGGAAATGCCACACAATTTGGTATTCATTTTTATCTACCGCTGTTCATTATAAAAAAAGGGGGCGTCACAGAACAACTTGGGACAAGAAACCTGTTCCTCAGGCCTCACCTCTTCTAGCCTTATCAGATACCACTACTGGAGGAACACAACACACTCCATTTTAGTGGCTGCGGCTACACTGACTACAGTGAGCAACTTGCTGGAGATCACCTGCTCCGAGTGTTACAGGGAAGTGTGTCTTTTGTTTTCAGCCCTGAATAGGAAACATGCAAAAGATAAAAGAGAGCAAACTGGATTCACTGCTGCCTTTTATGTGCTCTGTGAGGAAAAGTACATTCTTAACACAACTGTCCTGGACAGTTGCCTTACAATTAGTAAAGAGCAAACCCTTTATGGGTGCATACTTAGTGCCAAGTGTCAGAATTTCTGTTTCTGGAATTAAGGAAGATCAGGGAAGTAAACCAAATATCTCTTAGGGTGAAGGACAGTGAGGCTCCTTCAAACAACCCAGGTGAACCCTGTTTTCTCTTGTTTCTGTTTGGTACTAGGGAAGACATCTTGTCATGGGCTTCTAGGTCAGACATACATTGTGAAGAAAAGACTATGCTTGGGGGAAGGGTGTTTATGAGAACATCACCAACAACATTAGCTTACCTTCCCATTATGGCAGATGTCATACCCTTCGGGCTTACATTCATGAGATCTAATGAGCAACTTCAAACAGTGTTTACTAAGAATCTTGGCGGTAATATCCGGTCCAAAATAGCAGCCCCCTCCTCGACATGTGTTTGGGTAACAGCCATTTTTGGTTCTTGGATCACTCCACAGAATATCAACAACCTTAAAACAACAAACCAGATTAGGCTATAATAATTTACAAGTGAGAGTCTTTCTAGATTCCAACTTATTTTCCAGAAATATTAACCCAAGGTGTCCCAAAGGCTACTTCTCATTTCTCCTTAAAAATTGTTTCATACTCATCTCCTCCATGAATCCCTTCCAGAATAATTTTAATGCTCATAGCCATCCCAACCCCTTTCTACTCATCCCCAATGACCAATTTAGCAATAAGAATAAGCAAAGTAGAAATACTTAATAACCATGAAAAATCAGCCCTCGTCCCCCTTTTTTTTCTTTAAAAATTCCATTACAACTGTTTCACATTTGTTGAATCTACAAGTTCTTTTCTCTTAAAAAGAGCTTCACTTTTACATTCAGAGGAGAAAATAGCTCTCCACAATCACCACACATTAAGAGATAAGGTAGGTCTCCCCACTGTGGCTTTGTCCTGGGTTTGTGTCCAGTTGAGCACCCAGCCTGAGAAAGCCCTTGCTGTTTTCCATGACAAATATAGAAACCTGTCCACCCAAGAGTATCTCTTAAAGCATCTCCTTCACCTTCTGTCCCCTTGATAAGTACATTCTCAGGTTCAGCCATACATTTAGCTACTGACTGGTTTCCACAATTTGTTCTCCTAAATCCACAAGTGTTTTATTAGTATAACTTTTCCTTTGGGGGCTGGAAGAGGCAAATACAGGTTATACGACGCCCAGGACTGAAGACCCAAGTTTTTAAGAATATTTTTCATAGATAATCAGAGGCTCCCTCTTTGTGGCTCTCATCTATCTACAATGTTTCTTTATTTAAACTTCTCCTTAAACAGCCTAAATAGTGAGAAAAACTCTCTCTATCACTAAAGCTATACGACCTTGAGAAAACTCTTCGGGTCTCGCTTTGAAATGTTTAAAATCAGGCATTTGGGCCAGCGGACCTGTAAAGTATCTCAAAGTTCGAACAGACTATGATTCTAAGAGTCTATATTTTTGTTACTCTTTAGGGCATGAAAAGCATGGACTTGAGGTTGTGCGGTTATCCTAGTAAGTCTAAATCAGGTCTTGAGAAGAGGCCCAGAAATGGCTGCTCCACTAAACCTGATTGTACATCCACGTATAGGTTTGGTATGGAAGGGGAGCTAGAAATAAGTGAAGGAAAAGACAGTGAGGTGAAGAGCAGAGCGGAACTGGGAGGAGAGCTACCCTGGAATGATAAGCACCTGGTCAGAACTAGAGAAACCCTGTGCCAGGTACACACCAGACACTTGCAGAGTTTTTGATGACTGATTAAAGTGAGAATTAAAACTGCTGAAAGACGAGTCAGCTCAGGAGTCTCCTTCTTCCCCACTGAATTCCAACACTGGCATAACCCTATTCTACAAATAAATACAATGGAATCCCTTTACTTTCCTGGTGTTTATGACAAAGATAATACTTGCATTTAAACTGAGTCATATCTGGCTCTTACACCATGAATTCATGTT